GTATCAGATTCCAGATCAGGGAGATGTGTTTTCCAAGGAGCTAAGAAGTGATGATTGATATCTAAGATGGGGCATGACATTTTCTCCATGCTCCAAAAGCAGAAAATACTGAGTCTTTGAAGTTGACAAACTTACTACCAATGGGTCAGCGTCTTTCATGCTCCAGGGTGAGACCATGCTGACCACTGGCCAGGTGTGGAGAATCAAGGCCTTTGTTCAAAATGGGCAAGAAAGAAGAGAGAAGGTGGTAGTCTAGGGATGATGTGAACTAGGAAAGTCCCAGAGGGCAACCAGGAAATCAAGAACCACTTGTATCTTCCTGTAAGAATGTCTTGCATCTGGAAATGCAGTCCAATGACCCACCCCCTCCAAAGAAATACAGATTGAACAAATAGAAAATTCCCAAAGGCTAATGAAGGGATTAATCCCTATGTAATAATCATGTTGTGCTCTTCTTCTCTGAGGTCTTTCATCTGTAGATCCTGAAAAGTTTTGCAAACATTAATTAAATGTTATACCATTCCTTTGAAGTGAGTATTATTATGCCCATTTTCCAGATGAGAAAACTGATAGTCTAAGGGGGTTGCCCAGGGGCTGCCCAACCAAGATTCCAGGAAGCCAAGCATTTCAGACTTCAGTTGGGCAGAGTTCTGGACCTCACAGGGAGAGTGAGACAGGCAATCAGGCAGTGCTTTATCCAAACGTTGAGAAAGAAAGATTCATGAAGGAGCATTCTGCATACTGGTCCACAAGTTCCGTAAGAACATGGAAGGGCTTTTCCCTTATCAAAGGGACTGGGTCCAAGACCGTAAGTCTTACAGATAGATGCCATGAATCATTCCTCAGCCTTCCAATGGGATGTCATGTCTCCTTTTCAAAGCTGCCAAAGACTGTTGTTGTTACTTCTTTTATGGTCTACCTTGGGTTATAATTATTTACGTTGGCATCTGTTTTTTCTCTTAAGACTTCATAGAAGGGTATCTTTTATTATCCTTTTGCCTGGGTCATAGTATGAGGTCATAAGTAAATATGTTTTTACTTTATTTCAGGTGAGGTTGATGGGAAAAGTCAGAGCAGCAGACAACTTCTGCAGGGTGCAAGGACCAAAGTTGATGACATTTATTTTTCCCAGAAACAACAAGCCTTGCCTACAACCCATGTTTTCATATGAATAAAGGTACTTTTGAGTTTTTATGACTGCCAAAATCTCTGTTTTTACCTTAGAAGCCAACATTCAGTTAGGATGTTCAAGCCTGGCCAAAATTCAGTAAAGAAGTGTGGAGAAAGTGAAGATTCCTATGGCCAGGATTCTCACCTGGCCCTGGTCAGCTTGCTCACTACACACATGTGGGCAATACATTATTAACTCCGTATAAAGAGTTCTGTCCAGTGCTCTGGGCTGCTTCAAGGCTGCAAGACAGCAGAGGCTGGAGTGGTGGAAGTGCTGAGGACAGAGGCCAAGACAGCTGTGGGGCAGAGAGGCCCAGAGGCAGAGACTGGCTTGCTGCATGCAGACTCACTCTGAGTGGACGGGATTATACTGACTGACCTGCCACTATGGGAATATAGTTGGGTATAAACACTTTCACCCCAAGAATATTTCCACTGTTTTTTTTCAGTCTCACTGAATCCGTAGTGAACTTGCCTGCGGCTGAAACACATTGGCAAGACAAGAAGATTCACAGAAAGCCATGTGATGAGCACATTTGGTAATAACAGACAACTTTATATGAACATCATGCTTTATAAATTTAATAAAGCATTTTTATAAGCACTTTCAAATTTGATTCTATTAAGACACCATGAAGTGGACAATAGAGAGGTCATTGTATTATTTTATCAACGAATGTTATCAAGGTTAAATGACCTACTCTAGATCACACAATTATTAAATAACAGAACTGTGGCAGAAACCAAACAACCTAGAGAAAGACAACTCTGTATTCCACAACTTCCTTTCCCTTTCCAGCCTTCCAAAATTGGAATTCTCTTTATAATTTCTTTTTTGCCCATCACTGTGCTTGCAACCTGTGCCTGAGCAGGGTCTGTGCTAAACCACTTTGGGTCCTTTTTGAGCCCTCATCACTTTGAGGGCAATGTCTGCCTAGCTGGCAACCCAGAACTCACCTGAACATGATTTGACTTGCAAGGAAGAGGTTAGCAGCAAGTGCAGTTTTACTGGTTTAGGAACCCACTTTAAAAAAGACAAAAGAGAAGAAAATCTTCATAAGAGATGTCATTTGAAAATCCACTAGAATATTTTGATGCAGTTGTCTAAGATGGAAAAATGGAAGACTTTGGCTATAGTTCCAGTGTCAATAACCAACTATGGGTCATTGTTTTCAGTCCACAAGTATTTAATGAGCACCTCCTACATGCATAAATATTGCACTAGGTGCCAGGGACACAGAAATGAAAAAGATTTATTTCTTGCTCTTGAGAAAGAAGTGTGGAGAAAGTGAAGATTCCTATGGCCAGGATTCTCACCTGGCCCTGGTCAGCTTGCTCACTACACACATGTGGGCAATACATTATTAACTCCGTATAAAGAGTTCTGTCCAGTGCTCTGGGCTGCTTCAAGGCTGCAAGACAGCAGAGGCTGGAGTGGTGGAAGTGCTGAGGACAGAGGCCAAGACAGCTGTGGGGCAGAGAGGCCCAGAGGCAGAGACTGGCTTGCTGCATGCAGACTCACTCTGAGTGGACGGGATTATACTGACTGACCTGCCACTATGGGAATATAGTTGGGTATAAACACTTTCACCCCAAGAATATTTCCACTGTTTTTTTTCAGTCTCACTGAATCCGTAGTGAACTTGCCTGCGGCTGAAACACATTGGCAAGACAAGAAGATTCACAGAAAGCCATGTGATGAGCACATTTGGTAATAACAGACAACTTTATATGAACATCATGCTTTATAAATTTAATAAAGCATTTTTATAAGCACTTTCAAATTTGATTCTATTAAGACACCATGAAGTGGACAATAGAGAGGTCATTGTATTATTTTATCAACGAATGTTATCAAGGTTAAATGACCTACTCTAGATCACACAATTATTAAATAACAGAACTGTGGCAGAAACCAAACAACCTAGAGAAAGACAACTCTGTATTCCACAACTTCCTTTCCCTTTCCAGCCTTCCAAAATTGGAATTCTCTTTATAATTTCTTTTTTGCCCATCACTGTGCTTGCAACCTGTGCCTGAGCAGGGTCTGTGCTAAACCACTTTGGGTCCTTTTTGAGCCCTCATCACTTTGAGGGCAATGTCTGCCTAGCTGGCAACCCAGAACTCACCTGAACATGATTTGACTTGCAAGGAAGAGGTTAGCAGCAAGTGCAGTTTTACTGGTTTAGGAACCCACTTTAAAAAAGACAAAAGAGAAGAAAATCTTCATAAGAGATGTCATTTGAAAATCCACTAGAATATTTTGATGCAGTTGTCTAAGATGGAAAAATGGAAGACTCTGGCTATAGTTCCAGTGTCAATAACCAACTATGGGTCATTGTTTTCAGTCCACAAGTATTTAATGAGCACCTCCTACATGCATAAATATTGCACTAGGTGCCAGGGACACAGAAATGAAAAAGATTTATTTCTTGCTCTTGAGGAGCTAAAAATGTATCAGACAAGACATACAACCAAGCAGGTAAAAACATTACAAAGTAATGTGCACTTTGATGGAGGTGTAACATGTAACACTGCTGAGAATCCTCCCAGAGGAGAAAAGGAAACCAAGTTCTGGACCTGTCTGAGCACAGCGTGCTGTGGGAGTGCACGGTTTGCATGCCCATGAAGCCAGGCCTGCCAACAGAGATCCTCTGCGGTGCATAGTTTCTCTCTTGAGGGAAGTATACAAGTGAGGACAATGAATGGCATAGAAATGGAGATTTCCAGGGACCTAGGAGTGAGCTGAAGCCACCAGGCAGGAGAAACATGGGATAGAAGAAAAATAGAGGCAAGAGGTCAGCAGCCACTGAGGGAAGAAGTCCTGGGGGTAAGGACAAGCTGAGGCATGAGAATGCCAGCATGACCGAGAAGCCATAGGCCTCCACAGATGAGGGGCTGTTTCCAGAATGTTAGCAACTTTTTCTAATAGCCCAGCCTCACAGTCTCAAAGAGGCTTTACATTTAATTTCTCCATTATATTCGATTCTCATAACCTGAGGTAAACAGCATCTCTCTGATTCTTGCAAACTGGACAAAGCGAATCCAAATTTATAAAAGTGTTTTACATACTTATAAAACATCATGCTTTATGCAAGGGAGACTTGCAGCTGAAAGACTCCACTGGCAGCCAAAACAAAGACAAAATTAGTCCTGCAGGTGGGTGAGGATGTAAGCATAGGCTACTCTTGACAGTACTGTCTGCACCTTTCTGAGACTCCCCCAAAAGCACAATCACTGTGCCCTCAAGTCCCTGCCTACTCCTCAGACACTGCCTGTGCTAAAACAGGAATCACTAACTACTTGATAATTGCATGGCAATAACTCAAGTGTTGGTCATCTCGCTCTCTGTTTCTCCAAAGGAGCCTTCTGTGCTGAGCCTTTGGGCCGATCTGCTTTATTTGTCTCAACTCACTAGCATGCCATCAATAATTACAGATTCAACATCAGCAGCTTTTCCCTCTCTAATAATCGTGTCTGAGTTATCTATGAAGAAAATTCACCTTCTTTAAGTGTCCTAGGAAGCTTTCCTCGACACAACAGGAGGTGAATTCTGTCAATCACCTTTTCCTTTTGTTCTAGTATTAGTATCAGATTAGTCCCCCTGTACCAGGCAGTGATGGCTGCTCCCTCTGACATTCTTCCCATCCTAAATCTCATATGATGATCATTATTGTCCTCAGCATCCTTCCAGGAAGTTGCTTTATTCACACGACTTGGCAGTCAGCTCCACAGACCTCCCAGGCAGCACACTGCTCACAAGCCTGCAAGGCAGATCAGATGAGCCTCTCCAGGGTCCTGATGAGAAAAAAAGGGAAGTGACCTGGCCAAGATTTTGAAGCAAGGTAAAGTCCCTCTTTTTAGTTTCAGACCCACCCAACTACATTCCAAACACATTATGACCATGCCCAGTAATTCCCTTGTGATTTTGCTGAGTGTCCACCATGTGCTGGTCCTCTACTAAACCCGTACATTCGGACATGAAGAAGAGGAAAGAAAACCACAGCAAGTTCCCAGCCAGGGCTTGATTCAGCTAACCATGCTGCAAAAAATGCTTCTTTTATCCATTCATCCAGGAAGTATCTAGCAGACACTGTGTCTGGCCCTTTAAGGACTTCATAAATCCCACTTTTCCTATGAGCACCCCTCCAGCCTACCACATGACAGTCATTACAGTCCCCAGCATGCTTCTTTCATGTCCACTTGCCATGCTTCAGCTGTTCCTCACCCCATGTTTGGAGCCTACCCATCCCAGGGAAATTGAGCTCTGCAACAGAGCTTATTCACAGTGGGCACTTAATCAGTGTTTGTCAATTAAATATATGCAAGATGTATGAACACCTCATCAGCAGAGGTGGGATTGCTATTACCTGCCCGTCCTGGCTGTTAAATAACGAGAATGACTGAAACAGCAGCAAAAGCAATTTTTCTTAAGGGCTCTTGGTGTCTGTGCATCTCCTGGGACACAGGCAGATGTGTCCCTTATTCTGGGCTCTTCTAAGCAGAATCATGCTCCTTCTTTCAGGTTTTATTGATCTCACCAAAAGCTATGATGTTTATTCTGTGATCTTAGGCCTCAACAAGCCAGTAAAATAGGTGCAGAAATAATGCTTATCCTAATTTTCCCAAGGTTAGACAGGAAAGTGACTGCTCCAGATATAAGAGCTAATGTGTGGTAGAGCCTGGACCAAACTCTCCTTTCTTGGTTTGGAGTTCTCGGCATTGAACATACCTATGCACTGTGACAAATCATAATAATTATAGAAAGCCAAACCCAACAGAGCTGCAGTGAAAGATGGGCTTGTTTTTACCTTCAAATATTTTTTTGGTAGCTGCCCAAATGTAGTTGATTTGTATAAATCTAAACTGGGCTATATATTTGCTAATAATCTGTAATAAACAGAGTTGCACAGCATGCAAAGAACACAGGTGAGGAAAGGCTTACTGAGGCTCATTTGCATTCCGTTATCAAAATAAGATATGTAAAGTACCTCACGGGAGAAATCAGAATTTTTGAACACTGATATTTCACAGGCCAGTGACTTTTAATAGTTCTAGAGACACCAATGCCTATCTGTGTCTGCAACTGTTCTTCACACACACTCATATTTAGTTGGAGAGAATGCTGATGGATAAATAAAAGCAAACTGACACATAATATCGGTTCAGGGTTATGCTCCAACATTTTGAGGACACTTTGTGGCTAAATTTCTTTTATCGATCATGTCAAGGCGGCCCCAATCTATTTTAGTTTAGAGGAACTCTTTTGCTTAGTTTTATAATATGCAAAAATTGGAAGTAGACATGCAAACAGATAAGCTATTAAATTTTAAGTGAAATTAGTAAATATCATTTATCTCACTTATCCCTGAGACCAGGGAGATAGCAGAGCAATCTTTTGATCAGCCTTTAATTATTTTTTTCTCACTAGAACATTTTGAAATGGAGGTGCCTACATCACTCTTTATGTGTTTTGGTCCCATTTCCCTCATTTCTATCCAGTTTAGAGGACTACTACCCCGGTGGGAATTGAGAAGACAATTGTGGGCAAGAAT